AGGATTTGCAGCAGGTGGCGACAGTAGACATCCCCCTGCATTGTGTTGTCGTCTTACTGCAATACATCACACTAAGCATGCATGAGGCAACAGCAGCGAGGAAAAACACCTTATAATGGGAAGAAACCTGCAGCAGAACCAGAACCAGGCTCAGTGTGATTGGGGTTCAAAGAGACATAAGCAGAAACACCAAAGGAGTATAGAAGCACTGATCTATAAAAACTTTTAATTTGGAAAAGCTGAGAGTAAATAGCTCCATATGTGACTCTGTCTAGAAAAGAAACATTTAATCCTAAGCACCGTCACTCCAAACTTGTCAAATATTGACGAGTATCTGTTGCAACAGATACTGACGCGATGGGGGTGCCCCTCTCTGAGGCACAGCGTGCATGACAAGTGGCAGGAACTTGCAAAATTGTTCTATGAACTGCAAAGCAGAAAAACACACTAACCCAATTTTCTACGCTAAATCTTTAGCCTGAAAAAATACTAGTATACATGAATGTGTTCCTGTACACTCCCAAAGATCTAGCAATGATAATTGTATAGTCTACTTTTTTTTTCTTTTTTTTTGTTACGTGATACAATGTCCTGCCTTTAACCCTGGGTGTCAATATGTGATGAGAGGGGTGCCCCATTAATGTCAGTATGTGACTTACTTACATGTGACTTTTTTATTTTATTTTACTTAAAGTCATTGATACTCCATGTTCCTGTAACCTGGCTAATACAATGAAGACATTAGAGAGTTTTTCCAACTCCTGCAGAAAGTCTAGGGTTTTGGATTCATTGACATCTCGAGGTATAAACTGGACATGAACATTACTTTAATATTGCATCTGTGTTGTTGACATAAAACTATCCTGCAGCATTAGATTAAGCAAATTTAGATATTTAATTTTTCTATTCAACTAATTTGGATTTGGATCATGGGATTGAATCCCCACTGGGGGAATTAACTGCCTGTGTGGGTCCTTAAGCCGGGCATACACTGTATGATTATTTATTTTTTTTGCCCTTTTTGGGCTGATTCTCCAGCTATGCAAGAACTTTTTCGATCAGGCCGACTTTCAACCTGATCGTGCATCGTGTAGTATACAGGTGGTAACGATTGGCAATCACCCTCTCTTGACCACCTCCCAATTACTAATCGTAAGGTCGGGAGAAAATCAACTGGAAAAAATAATGCAACCACTTTTGGCATTTACTTAATCATATTTAGTAACTTTAACACAATTATTTTATGTCCTACCCTGCTACATGAAACAATTGTGTTACTTAAATATGATTAAGGAAATGCCAAAAATGGTTGCATTATATTTTTCAGTGTGTTTGAAATTCAGTCGGCCGTCGCATCAGAACGTCGGGGCACACAGTGTAAGAACATGCATCGGGAGCTTTGAACTTTTAAACCCTGCAGTTTGGTCGTACATTGTGAGCTTTAGCTGCACTGTGCGATTGAAAATATCGCACAGTGCATGCCCGGCTTTAGGCAAGACCCTTCACACTAATGCCTACTTTGTAAGTCTGTAAGTTTGTAAGTACTTTGTAAGTACTTTGTGAGTTTGTGGGCGACAGTGGCGTTGGATGTGGGAGTTTGCCCTGTAATCGAAGGGTTGACGGTTCAAGCCCCGACTCCGACTTTCGTTGTCGTTGTGTCCTTGGGCAAGACACTTCACCTGCATTGTCTACTGATGGTGGTCAGAGGGCCCGGTGGCGCCAGTGTACGGCAGCCTCGCTTCTGTCAGTGAGCCCTAGGGCAGCTGTGGCTACAATGTAGCTTGCCACCATCAGTGTGTGAGTGTGTGTGTGAATGGGTGAATGAATGTAGTGTAAAGCGCTTTGGTCAGGTCTCCTAACTTGAATAAAGGCGCTATATAAGTACATGCCATAAGTCACTTTGGATAAAAGCATCTGCTGAATGCATAAACATAAATTTTACCTTCAGTCAAAAAAACTGTTGTTAAATCAATTGCATCAAAACAAATTGAACAGATCATGAATTATGCTGACAGTTTAAAGGACAATTTAAAGGATAAAGGATTAGGCCCAAGTAGCTGCAAAGAAACACAACATAAACAAATAGAAGTCATCTGTTAGTTGTTGTTTTTCTCTTGAATCTGTCCTGTTTGCTTTCTGAGCTAGATCATCAAATCCATTCAAACTAATTAGTAAGCAGTTTGTTGTAAACTTTAAAATGCTACCACTCACATGAATCCACCCACATGAGTAATGACATCGTTCCTTCATACATGAGATGCTCAAGTCTCCGCTCATAATTTTACATAAATTAAAATCCAAGAATGAGGTAAAGATACGGCTTCTTATTTACTCACTGCTCAACAGAAAATGAATGGGGGTGGGATTAGTTGTGCTTTGCTTCTCAAGGATGATAAATACATGTATATTTATAACCCCAGCTGTATGCGAGCTAGAGGGAGCCTTTCTGTATAACAATGATGAAATGCTACACTGCCACAGGCGCCAGTGAAGTGTGATAATCAGCTTTCCCGACCTGGAACGCAAACCTCATAGGGAAATGAGGATTAAATAAGGAAGAATTGTTGCATGTTGCTTTCCATCCCTGCGGCTCTTTTGCTGAATACCACATGACTTTTACCATAGAGCAGCCAATCACAGGCTAACGGTCTGGCCGCAGTGTGTTTGTTGTCGTTGTGTGAGCGTGCATACATGTAAGCCACACATTTGCCTCGCCTGTGGTTTTTCCGTTTCTGTTCTCAGTGATCCATGATTTTCACACCACCTGTAGACAAGCCTGTCATGTTGTTTAGCTACTCTAGCTTACAAAGCACTGGGTGTTCATGTGTTTGTCCGCTATGTGTGTACGTGAGTGTGTCTGAGACAACCAGTACATCAGAAGAAACATAAAAAAAACTATGTTGTTTGCTTTTTGAGGGATGCCTTGCTAGTATCTATTTGCCTCGTATTGCAGTGAGAACTGCCTTGATTTTTGGAAACATACATTCAGCGAGCTGTTTGTCTATGATGTTTGACCACATCCAAAACTGGTGCTTCGTTGCATTGACATCAAATAGCGTAGAAGTCGTTTGATATGTGCAGCATGTGCATTTTCATCTTTAAGAAACATATTAATAATTGAACTTTATTGATATAACATTGGATAAATTCACTCCTGCATCTTAACCCATTGCCTCGGGGAGCAGTGGGCTGCCACTGTGCGGCGCTCGGGGAGCAGTAAGGGGTTAAGGTTGTTGCTCAGTGACCCAGAAGGCAGACCTTGGTGATCGAACTTGGTACTTGCCACCTTCTCAGAGGACAAGCGCACTCCTCTAACCACTAGGCCAACACTCCCCTAAACCAGTTTGATCTGAGTTTTCCCACAGGGTACATTATCCTGTTGGAGGTTGAACTGTGGTCATAAATTGATGGATATCGTCTAGCACTGATATTTAGGAGGATGTCACCGTTAAATGATGCCAAGTTTTTATGGCCGTTGTGGTGTTGATAGATTAAAATGAAATAAGGGATTCATCAGATCTGATCTTCTTGACCCTTAATTGATGGCTGTAATATTTTCAGAAGTAACTGTAGTTTTTTTAGAAGCAGGAAAAAGGGTGTAACTGTAACAATGAGTGAGTTTTATGGGCCCAGATGTCATGGCTAGAGCAGCTTTTTTTTATTTTACCATGAACCACTGGCTGACTGTTGAGTAACGGTGCAAATAAGACGAGTGGATGAAACATCTGCTGCTTTTATCTGAAGCACAGCTTTTCTTCTTGTACCTAATATTATAGCCAGCTCTTGGTGGTGTTTGTGGGGTTAATAAGCTGTTTTAAGATGTATTTTTGAGATCCCCCACCAGTAGGAGCTGTTTTTCCACCATGTTTTTTCCTACGGAGCTTTCCATATATTTACTATTTTTCCGAGGTGCAGAAAATTTCTGAATATTCAAGTAATGCAAGCTGACTTGAATTGAAGGAGTAAATACTGTAACAGTTACAGTGTAACTGGTGCTTCTGGTTTCATAAGTGCACGTTAATAAGAAAATATGTTTGGATGTTTTTTCTTTTGGCTGGACTTGTTCCTTCTTAATTTCATTTTTTGTTTATTTTTATTATATTTTTATAGTCTTTAAAGAAATTGAATTTAGGTCATTCTTTATTGAATGATTTTAATTTTTTTATTATGTTATGCTGAGTAACTCAGTACTTGACTAGACTTTTTAATCAACGCTCTTACTCTCACTCATGGACTCCAAATTTTGTTAAAAGTATAATGTAGGAATTTCGCAAATTTTTGAAAAGACCTGCCCTCTCCACTTTAAAAAAAATATGCACATGCACAACCCTGTACCCGCTCCTGAGAGGGAACGCCAATTAAACGTGTGTGAGAGCGTGCATGAGCCCATTTCTCCTCGTGCACGCTCTGTTTAAAAGTTGCTGTTTGCATCGTTCCAGAATCGATCCAGAAAAAGAACATCCTCCACTATACCTTTAATATTTTACTTTTAAGATTTTTATTTGCAAAATGATATTTCAAAACGGTAGAATTTTCCTTCTATTTCCACCCACAAAATGATAAATGACATTGTTTAATCCAGATAGTATGAATTCGATTTTGTGGGCTCAGTGTTGTTATTCCCAGGTTTATGAACGTTTCTGAGGAGCATCGCAGTAAATGTAAACATAGAAGTCCTTTCATATTGAAGAAACATATTCAGATCTGTTGGGTTTAAAGATTTTTCTTTTGAGTATAAAAAAAATCTACCAAAAAGTTTCCACCTGCATCCTTTTACCTGCTTTCTCCACTTTTTGAACGAGTTTCTCTCTGAAGCTCTTTTGAATTATTCTTGTAGCTAATTACCCACTAACATTGTTTTCTCATTTGTAATTAAAGTTGATAGTCTGCTGCCAGTAATAACTGTGAAATGATGCCTGTTCTGTGTAAACACTCACACTCCCCCCTCCTCTCCTCTCCTCCCTCGCTCCCTTGTCTCTCTGTTGCTATGGCCACTGCAGACGGTTACCAAGCGAGGACGGCTCGGCGTCGAGCAACAGCTCAGGGAAGCTGAACACCAGCAAGAGCTCCTCGGCCCGAAGGACCATGACAGGCAACAGCAGCAAGAACGGCAAGGAGGAGCTCCACAAGAGGAGCAACAACGGTGAGAAGGAGAAATGGGGTGAATTTGGGTCACATGAAAACAACAAAGTTTTAATGTCTAATTTAAAAATTTTAAATAAAAATTTGACCAGCAATGAAACTTTTGAAAAAAGTTTGAAAAGTTTTAATCAAAACGATGTTTGCTGATCTCTGAACTTTAGTATTTGAAAATTATTTTCACATCCATTCATCATATTTTTTTTGGACAGATTTTCTTTTCTTTTTTTATTTCATTTTTCCAGATTGAGTTTTACAAATCATATTCTCTTCACTTTGATTCTAGTACAAATGCTCATTCCAATGAAATAGTTGCGAACGCCCAGCAGACCAATAGAAATGCATCTCCTCCTCACTTCAGAGTAGGGTTGCCAACTCCCTGGAAAGAAATGGACACCTCATGTGCATGCCAGCTGACCCAATTGCCTTTACCCCTTTTTTTTTTAGCCCCCCTTTGTGTGTGAAATGATTTTCTTAACTAATTGACTGAAATCTACATTGAATTAGATGCATATTTGCAGTCTGCTTCATATTCATTATACCTGACTTCTTCCACCCAGGTATTTGTTTTTTTTTTTTCCTATTCCTCTCTATATTTCTTCATCCTTTTTTTTTCGGAGGAGGAGCATTGCTATGCGAAGGAGCACCGCCCCCCAAAAGCAGCGTCAGCATTTAAATTACCACGTTCGTCCCTCATACTGCTCTGTTGTGTCCCACTATCTTATCCGTGAGCAACACTTACCAATAGGATGAGGGTATTCTGGATCGTTCAATATATGTTTTATTGTTATTATTATTATGCTTTTTTTATATATTCTTTTGCTATTTTTCAAGGCTGCACTTTTAAATAAGATGAAATTGTCCAGAGAGCTGTTCTAAATGATTTTTTTTTTGTTTTGCACTTGTGTAAACAAAATGACAAGTAAATCTGTCTAAGTCTAAAAAAAAAATGTTGTCAGCTCATTGGTCACAATGCAGGACAGGGCCCGGGAACAAGTTTACCGTAGGTTTTGTATCTAATGAGCCCTTATTCTTCATTTTCCATTAGCTTTTTACTATTTTTTACTCTCACAGTAATCGCGTTCCTTTTCCACTAAATACGGGACAGGTACATCTTTTTCTAAATACAGAACAATTCTGTTTTTTAAGGGATGGTTGGCCACCCTACTCCAGAGGGAAAACCTTCCCCCGGAAGTGGATTGAATTTGATCTGTAATATAATTAGAGAAGAATGCGATTTATAAATCTCAATCTGAAAAATTTAAGTTTGAAGAAAAAATAATATATATCAAATCTAGAAGAAAAAAATGAAGACAAAAATTTAAAAAAGCAGAGAAAATAGTCCACAGTGGTAGGGTAAAATGTTTTCTATTATGTTTAATGATAATTATCCTATTTATTGGAGTGATAGAGAACACTGACACTGTTGTACCCCAAATACTCATCCAGTACTCACATCCTGCACCTCTGCTGTTGGTTTAGTCTGCAGAGAGCAACGCTAGCTACAGTATGATTTCATCATTAGACCATCAACCCCATATTGGTTTGATCTTTCCTTTGTTTTTTGTTTTTATTTCAATCTGAATAACTCACACGAAGAGAAAAGACAATTAGGAGAAATGTATTTATATAATTACTTGGTCTTTGGCGCTCAGACCTCGGCAGCAAACATAGCACTCAATTTCGCTAGATATGCATGAACAGGAGCAAAGAACAGGGCTGTTTCGACCTTAGGCCTGAAACTGGTGGTGTGGAGATAGATGAAGTTGGTCAGTCTGTAGACTGCTGGTTAGAGAGACAGTATGCTGAGCTTTATGGGGAGATCCAGTGGACTGCGTGAGCTGATACTAGAGCTTCACTCAGGGTCCTGGAAGATGGAAGTCCAGTTTGATAACACAAGATTAGAGAACCTGTCTATGATGAGCAAGCACGAAGCGACAGTGGAGAGGAAAAACTCCCCGTTGGGAAGAAACCTCTGACAAAACCAGGCTCAACATGGCGGTCTTCTGCCGGACCGGTTGAGATGAGACAGGAAAGGCAGTTAGAGTCCAGGAGGAATTACACTATAATGAAGCTTTGGCTACAATTGTGGAGGAGGGGCTGGAGGTGGGTTGAAACGGTGTCATCTAAATGAAGTCACACAGTGCATCCACAGCCTGCGCACAGGAGCACACAAGTGAATCGGAGGCCTTTTAAGATGAACTTTGGATGCCGATTGGCTTTCGTGGAGGCTTGGTTCAAAGCTGACTGGCTGTGTCACAGGTGGATGTAGGAGAGCATTAGTTTCATCAGTTGAACTTCCGCCTAGGCTCCATTTCCTTTACCCCATTTCAGGGCAAATAAAAAAATAATTCTAAAAGGTTAAGGTAGTAGAAACCCAGTGGATCCTCTTAAAATTTTATCTGGATAGTTCTCTGAGTTCTTTTTCAGTTTAACCACATGAGAACAGTCAGGAAGGTGGGTGGGAAAAATATGACAGCATGCTGTCTTTTAAGAAGTTATTCACAATCATCCAGCCTTTATGGTTCGTGTGAGTCATGGTTAAACGTAGGGGATTTTTATCCTGAGCTGTGAAAAAAAAACAACTTATATGAACCATTTAGGAGAGCATCAAGAGCAAATTAGCACTGCAGGAATTTTATTTCGTTTTTTTACTGTTGCTGTTATGCAATTAAATCTCTGCAGTCGGTGCTTAGAGAACAGCATATGGCTTCCTGATCTTGTTAAACATACACAAAAATAGAGCAGATCTGACACAGAAGCTTAAATGCCAGAATTTGATGGAATTACTGTCAAAATGATGCAGTTTATCATCATCAGTGTGTCCCTTTTTTAGACAAAAGCCGTTAGAATATTAAAAACTAGCCTAGTTATTTAGTGCCAGACTGGCAGCTGGAACGGGAGAATCATTCAAGGCTTCTGTAAGAATTCATCTTTCATGTTTTTTTTTGTCAATTGTTTTTATGTTTTATACTTTCAACTTTTATTTTTTCAATTTTGTTCATATTTCAATTTTTCCTATAAAATATTTTATCAGGTATTATTTTCTAAAACCATTAATTTTTACAGTTGAAAGGGAGCAATCTGTGAAAGTGTTTTATCCAATGAACCTTAGCCATAGAGGGAAGTGGTAAAACAAGCTTACAAGGGAAAATAGATCTGATATCTTCTCCTCAGCTTTAGCTGGTGACACATGTTGGGCTAAGTGTGCTGCGTTCATTGGGCCGGATCTATCAAAGGTTTGCATGTATAAAAACGTGAGCTATTTCACTGCGCACGCTAAAAAATGTACAAACTGATCTATCAACAGCGTGCTAAAAGGATTTGGTCTTTAAAACGTGCTAAATAGCGCCTCTAATCCATTTAGTACTTTTTCTGCAATGAATATGCAATATGGGGCGTTTACACGCAAAAGTGCGTCTTGTGGGAGGAGAACATGTAAATATATTAATTTAGCACTTGCAAAGTGATTTATCAAACCTGAAAGCAATTTTGCTAACGGTATCTGACTCTATATTTAGCACGTTTCAAAAGAAGGTGCAAATGGTCTGTATGCGTAATTGCGCACACATGGCAGCGGTTATTGTCGCAAGAAGGAGACATGGAAATGAAGCAAGGAGACGCAGAGAACGCATTTTTTCACTCCGTGTGAATATTTTGGAGTGAACGAGGAAACGATCATCAAAACATTTCGTTTATCCAGCATTGCCATTTTGGAGCTGCAATTCCAGTGATTTGCTCCTCACAGAGCGTCAGCTGTACTTGTTCCTCAATGCTGGTCAGAGGCATCTCATCTACTGTGCCCCCTCCTCTTTTGTTCGCAGATGTTTTGTTATATGCCAGTTTTTCTTTGGTTCGCCTTCTAATATCCTGGTATCTTCTTTTTACTTCATCCACTGTTCGCAAGGTTTCACCAACAGCGTTTACTTTATTACTGATTTGTTCACATATAGCGTTCCTCTGTGTGACAGGCACACTTCTTTGCTGTAGCTCACTTAAATGTTTGTTGGCTTCATCCACCAATACCTCCATTTCCATGGGGTCAAATTTCCTTTTGCGCCTTCTGCTGTCCAAACTCGCCATGCCGCAAACCACAAAACGCGCAAAACCATCATTTAAATAGGGTGTCTCCAACAGTTTTGCACCTGTCACCAGTTACGCAATCGCTCTTGTTAAATCACCCGCAAACCATGGTTCAGCCCCTCGCGCAAAATTCCAGTTTGCGAGCGCAAATTACTGCACGCAAAATTGGATCTTGATAAATCCGGCCCATTGACTTTAACATCTGCTGGCTGTGGAAACGGCATCCATGCAGCAGGCATTTTTATATGTGACAGCAGCAAAGCCATGGTGTAAATGATAGAGTAACTGATGGCTGATTTCCTGTTTTAAAGTATTGCACTGCATGTTTTCTCAACACAACATAGTGGGAAAACGGCATACAGAACAATCATGGTTTCCTTATATTTAGTATTATTAACATGCTGCTGTGGAATCTTTGCTTAAAGACAAACACAGCCTGCAGCTATACATTGACCTTGGGCTTTTGTTGGGTGAGCCCAAAAATAATAACATTTTTTATCTTAAAAAAATTACACAGGCAGAAAAATGTATTATTATTTATCGAAAAGTATAAAATCAATACCAAAGACCTTCAAACTAGAGATGCCATAAGTTCAGCTTCTTGAGCTAAGAATAGCTTGTAGGATTTTAGCAATCTTTTTTATTTTAGTAAAAATGCCTTTTTAAAATGTTTTTTCTTAAAATAAATAAATGTTTTATTATACACGTTTTATCAGAGTGTGATTAGTTTTATGCAGCATTGCAATTTTATTGCTTGTCTCAAACCAAGAAAGTTTCAGTGATGCAGCACAAACATAAAATTTAAAGGTGGTGGAGGATTCTTCAATGTTTAATGTCTCTATTCGGTCTGAGCTGGCACCTTAGAAGCTTATTACTTCCTTATCTAAATTTTGTTTTTTAAAAGTCAATGAAGGGTCAAAC